AGATCCTTCCTAAACTATTTAGGCTTGTTCATAAAAATTGGTTCTAGGTTTAGATTTTCTTCAGGGCGTAGTGGCTAATGTTCCTATTCCCTTTAGCCTTATGGCGGCGACTACCTAGTCATTTGTTGATATTATCACCATGACTACCAATTCTTGATCACTTCAATTTCTTTTCACTATTGGACATAATAATTATTATTTGCCACATCGGATTTTTGACTATGATTGAAGCATTCAAAGCGTCAACTATTTGGCGAATTAAATATTTCATGTTCGTAATATAAACAGGGGCAAGAATCATGAGAAAATCTTTTGACACTTCTATTTTTATTAGGTTTCGAGCTAAATGACTTAAATGAAATCGTTGTATTTTTTGCCGGATTGTTTATACATTTATACATAATGTATTATATATATATTGCTCTAACATTTTGTCACGATACTACCTGAAAATTGGAGTTCACAAAAACGGGAATGAACAGTAAAACTGTGAAATTAAAGTTTTTAAATAGTAACATTGATTCACAATAACATTCAATTATAAAAGAGCTCTTAATTCACAAACATAAGCATAATCTAAATAAACACATAAGATATCCAGTTTATTACAGTAAAACAAGTAGTTTAATAAAAGTGAAAACATTTAAACCAAACAAACTATTTTTTTTTTTTCAACGGTCCTCTTGTAAAGTCGGTTCTATGATTAATATTTGTCTAGCAAATTTATTTCTGAAAAAATGATTAAGCAGTATGCTAAGTTTAAAGAACTTAGCGAGTAATTATCGCTTTATTATGCATTAAAATTTATACAAATGCCTAACATAAATACTTAAAGAAATACACTGATCAATTTATAAAGTAAATTTAACATTTTCTTATTAATTTTTTCTACTTGATTATCGCAATCAAATACATTTCCATCATTTTAAATAAATATATTTTTCATTTTTTTGAAGAAGTCATCCCTAGAATTTCGTCAAAAACTGTTTCATCTTGTACCATAAAACCATAAAAATAAATGTTTCCATTTTGTACCATAAAACACAATTATATTTCAGTTTTTTCTCTTTAATATGCTTGAATGTACTAGGCTTTCTCATCTAGTACCATAAGACGACAACTTCTGATGGACTTAAATCATTTATTTTTAATTTCGTTTAATCCTTAAATTCATTTATATTACTTTTTGTGTATTTCTGAATATGAAATAATATAAATTATAAAATTATTATTTTATTTTTGAGTTAATTTTTGTCAATTGTAGAATTTTTTTTAAGCATTTTTTTGAAATAGCGGAATATTTATGTGATGGCACAATTGCCTTTAAATAAAAGAAATCAAATTTAATGTATATTAAACAGTAATTACTCACCTTGATTCAATCTTATAAATGATCCTTTCAAATCCTTTAATTTGTTTTATCTTAAATTGGATTCCTGAAATTAATTTATGAAATAATACTTAATACCTATAATTTCAATTGTACGCTCCTAATATTAGTTACAAAATTTTAATATTAATACTTAATGAACTTTTAAATTAAATTAGTTTTCTCTGACATAAAAGATTAAAATCCCAACCCTCACTATTTCCCTTCTTTTTCTTAAATATCTCAATCCAAACTCACAAATTCTTTGAATCAGAAGCTCTTCAAATCCCTGATTTAATAAAACCTAGTATTGAAATTTAACCTATATATTTTACATATTAATTATTTTGAAAAAACGATAATACCCAAGAGATTTTTTCTTTTTCCTTTTCTTAAAATGAATAGTTCTGGACTCTAAGTCTCACGGAGCAAAACTTTCTAGATTTCTTGACATCTATCATTAATTAATAAAACTCATTATTTGTAAATGAAAAAATTGTATTAAACAATTGTTATTAATTTCCTATTAATCAAAGTATAATTTATTGAAATAATAATAAAATCTAGTTCAAAAAACACAACATTACACATGCTCGATTTGGTCCCTTTCCTGCATGCAGATAAATCTTTCTTGCTCGCTCACTATCATTCCAATTTTATCAGATTTCTCCAAAGAGATTACTATTTTATTTGCTTTAATTTGTTTTTTAATTTACAGTTACTTTTGCTTTGAAATAAATATTTTATTATCTAAAAAATGATTTAAAAATATTTCTATGATTGATAGTAAATAACTAAAAAATGAAATGATTATTTTATTATTTATATTGTTTCACCATCTACATTGCACTAAAAGTAAGATAGATAAATTTAAGGATTGAAAGAAATTTAAATTAAGTTAAATGAAAGATAAATGATAAAGTCTATCAGGAGTTATTCCTTTATGATATTAGCTAGGGGTGTTTTTGCACCCGTGCATGTTATGGAAAAATGAAATGAAAATGATTGTGCCTTTATGGTACAAAATGAAAATGATTATGTCGTTATGATACACAATGAAAATAGTTCTTCTTTTATTACACAAAATTTAACCTGAATCTGCTTCTTAAAAGAAAAAGAAATTAAAAAAATGTAATTGATCAAAAAGATAAAAATATAATTGATTAAGATGACCAAATACAAATTTTTAATAAAAATAAAAATATAAATTTTGCTTTATAAATGATCACTATATTCTTTTGAGTATTCATGTTAGGTATTTGCATAAAATTTAATTCATAATAAAATGATATTTATTCACTAAGTTGTTTTAACTTAACCCGTTGCTCAATTATTCTTTCAGGAAAAAAAGATATGTTAAAGTCATATGATTGATCTGTGGTAATTTGTTTATAGTAGGAGAGAGGCTGCCGAAATTAGTTAGTAATTTATTTGGTTTATATGTTTGGCACTTTTATTGTACTACTTTTTTTATTGTTTTAAACCTGATGTTTTTTTTGGTTTTGTTACATAATGTTTATTTATATGTTGTGGATTAGTGACTCTTTTATAATTGAATATCATTATTGAATAATTCTATTGTTTTAGAAATTTTTACTTTAGCAGTCCATTTATTCGTTCTTACCTTGGTTAATTCTATGTATCCTGGCTGGGTCGTGACACATTTCTTGCTAAATGCCATTTATGTATTATCTGCTCTATTTAGTTGATATATTTTGATTTTATTAAGTAAAAATCTCACACTATTCTTGAGGTGTAATCAGAACACTCGCCGTCTATACCTTATATGGCTAGGATTTAAACTCCAAAGCTCCTGGCAACTTTCTTCTCACACATATCATTCATTACAGCTTCTTTGTTCCCAAATGAGAAAGTATGTTTTTTGTGATTGTTGTCACATGCTTATCGAAGGATCTTTGAAGCAATTTATTATAGTTTTTTCTCTCAGTACTCGTATTTTGTGAATAACTTATAAATGTGTATACTGAAGTGATTTTCATACTTAGATGCTTATAATGAGCTCCCAATTACTTCTGTTTGGGTTGTTTCCCCTCCTCTATGGGTCCGCTACGTCAAACAATTCACACAATACTCTGTGTGTAATGTTTGTTAAACCACTACAATTGAATGCTATACTTCTAGATTTTCGATTATTTATGGCATTTGTTCTTGTTGAGATAGACATTTTGACTCCTTTGAATCGAGAGGTATGGATTGGTCCTTCCTCACTATATTGTTGGCTATGAGAGTTATTAGTTGCCAAGGTAGAATTTTAAAATTTGGCTTCATATTACAAGCATTACAACATTTTGGACATCAGTATGTTCATTGCTACAATTTCTATTATTAATCAGCGAAATGGTTGGCTTGAGTACTTACTTTTGGGGTTTGTTCTTTTTATCATATTACGGACACAAGATTTTTTTGCTTGTTCCTCATATGAGGCTTCATTTCTCTAGATATTTTTCTAGATCCATCTTTTGGGTTTGTGCCTTCAGTTATTGTTGATGATTAATTAAATGTTGGTATCTTTTCACTCCTCAATTTCCAGTATTATCGATCTTGAATGTAAGACTTCTATTACCTCAAGAGTTAGATCTATGTTAAATATATGTTATCTCATTGTGGGTCTCTCTATCACTCCTTCCTTTTCTCATCAATGTGATATTACAGCTATATTCACCAATGCTTTTGTGGTAGTTTTGAAGTGGAGATTTTTGATGATTTAAGTTCTGTTTAACATCGATATTCTATTAGAAGTTTATCTGGTTTAGTGGACAGAAAAAATTCAGTTGGTGTTTTCTCTCAAGACACTAATAAAAGCTCATCTCCATTTTCTCAGATTTACTAGACTCCAAGCTAGATGTAGCAACTTGTTGATTTTTACATTCTGGACTTGAGTGGTGTCCAAATGTTGGTTTGCTTTTCTCTTCTTAAATAGATATTACTTATTATGATTTATATTATATTGATCCATTGACAGTCTTATGTAATTGCTATTTCATGTATCTCTTTTGCTGATTTTATATACAGTTACATTGCTTTAAAAAAAGGCAAATTTACATACAAACCACTCAATTTTTATGTATTTACATATCTAACACCTAAACTTCAATTTTTACATACAGGCCACCTTCCCTACATTAAAAGGTGTGTTTACATTTTTAAAGTTAAAATGGTGGTATTTTTATGTGATATGAATGATTTGGGTGTTATAAATGTAAAGGTTAGAGTTTAGGTGTTAGATATGTAAATAGATAAGAATTGGGTGGTATGTATCTAATAAATCTGTTTTCCGCGCTGGCCTTTCTAATGGATATACGTGTCTGCTTACTATATGAGAATCCACCTGGGATGTTCGGAAACTCTTGTTTCATATTTACCGTTACCACTTTCTTAGGATTAAATTTTGAGTCCAATGCTGCTAGTGTCAAGTATATTTTGGTGAAAACTCCGACCTAAAATCCCTTATTGAAGAACTTATGGAATATTGGATTATTCAGTTAGTCCTACCTGCAATTCTTTCTGATAAATATTATCTAATTCTATTTAACTGCCACATGTAGTTTCCCCTGTCTATACTCTAATCATGAGATGTACGAGACTTGCATTTTCATCCTTTTTTTTCCAGGTATGCGCTTTTAACTCTTGTATCGGAGGCAATCTGCCATTTAATATATCCTTTTAGGTGGCAAGTAAGTTTCCACATTCCAATCATTCAATGTTTAATTATTCTGATATATTCTCACGTTTGTTAAGCTTTTCTCATGTCCTCATTTGTTTTTGGAAGATTTGCACACATACAACTCAATTTCTATGTATTTACATGTCCAACGCCTACACTTCAATTTTTACATACATGCTACCTGACCTATGCATGAAAAGGTGTATTTACTTTTTAAAGCTAAAATGGTGTTGTTTTTGATGTGATATGAGAGAATTGGGTGGTATAAATGTGAAATGTAAAATTTAGGTGTTATCTATGTAAATATATAGGCATTGGGTGGTATTATGTAAACGCCTCTTTGTTTTTATGAAGATTCAAATGAAGAGAATGAGATGCACTAGATTTGTGCTATATTTTGTTAAATTTGTGTGCTTAGAACCTCTTAAATCTTTTTTTTTTGGTTTGTTTGTTTTTGCTTTTGTTAACGTAGCATGTGTACATCCCGTTGCTGTTTTTCAGTGGGGCAGACTACATTGATGCCCCTACACCATACATGATGGGACTTCATTCAGGTGTTGACATATCCGGTTTCACATTGGATGGCGTAAGTTGAAAGATTTTTTCTTTAATAAACTTTTTTTTTTCTTATATCTCATAGTTTCTGTTTTCTTTCAGTTTCCTGTTTTGTTTCACAATCTTTCCAATTCTATTATGATTCATTGATTTGTTTGCGACAGTTTTCTCTATGCCTCATTTTGAAAATTGTTTATCTAATTGATATTTCTATCTCCTCACTATCTCTTTAGTTCAGGAACTTCTGTTATGATTATATTTTCTTAAAATGGTATTTGGAACTGTTTATTTCATCAGTTCTTTTTCAAACTTGTACCTGCTATATTTCATTTCTTATATTTTCAGAAATTTTTTTTTCTCAATGGAAGTTATTATCAAATGAAGCTTTATTTTTATGTATGACATATAAAACAAAAACAATATTAATATGTTGTTATGGAAAGGATTTGTACATGTTAATTTACATAATTGAGATACGGCTCATTGAAGCTAACATGTGCAATATTTGATCATCAATCCATAATCTAAACTTAATGCAACAATATTTATTAACTTATAATTGTTTGTGCGTGACGTGCGAGCCCTCTCCGGATGCATGAAGCGAACCGCACTCCTGTGATCGCGGGAGACGGGGAAACGGAACAAATCAATCCCAATTTCCTTCTTTTTTCTTTCTTTCCTATTATCCTTCATTCCTTTTAGTCCTTTCCTTCGAGGGTTTGAAAGTTAGTTTTTTTTGTTTTTGTATCGGGAAAGCTGTCAAAGTCACTTCTTCCCTTCGAGAGCTGTATCCTGGAGTTTCAGGTGGCACTTCAGCTTTTTGTTGGTTTCCAAGCGATGTTTATTTTTCCCTTAACCTTTCACACCCTTCACACACCAATCATTGTCATCCTTCCTTGCTGCGGTTGTCAGAACATCAACTTTTATTGTTTTTCTTACAATTCCTCCATTTCCATCCAACTACCTCTCATCCCAGGCATGCTGACGCTCACCACAACTGCCCTCCACTATTCCCCAACCTTCCTACATCTCTTCCCACCTACTTCCTTTGCTACCGCCGGCTGAAATTGTTGGAAATCCCCGATTCTCTGTAGTATTGAACCTTCCAACCACCTTCTCCACTTTTGGACTTACCACCACCACTCGAGATGAACCCTAAAAGTGTGTCGTGTTGTCATTATTTTCTTTTTTCTGTGTTGTGTTTGTTGTTATTTTTTCTTTCAATGGGGTGATTGTATCCACCTATTTGTTTTTCAGCAATAATATTTTATTTTTCTATTTTGGTTTGGATTAACTTCGGTATTATTTGGTACGAGAGCTAGCTAACTGACATGGGGCTACGGTGATGACCGACCGGTCCTCACAGGTGGGAGGGCTGCCGACCCTCCCTTTCCTTTCTCTCCTCCTCACCCTTTCCTTTCTCTCCTCCTCACCCTTTCCTTCTTTGCACTTTCCTATTATACTTCCTTTCCAATTCTGAATTTTGATTATTTTTATTCATCATTGCCTAATCTAAATTTCCATCACTTTATTAATTCTTGTCGAATCTAAAGTTCTAATTATTTTTATTCTTCTTTCTTATTTTAATATTGCCTAAAAGAAGTTCCAGCTTTCATTATAAATAGACGGTGTAGTGCTTGGAGCCTTTTAGTTCTAAAAACTGAATTCTGAATTCATCGTTGGCGTCTCCCTCCCGAGTGCTGTATCCAACAATGAGGTGCTCCGACTATAACTCGCTCGAGATTATGATTATTCCCGCCATTCCGATCTCTCCGTGCATCCTGCATGCCGCCGCCGATCTCCCTGCACTCTTGCAGACTGCCACCGCCCTCAACTCTTCCAACAGGCTGCAACACACCCCGTTAGCCATCAGTCGACAAACTTGCGCTCCCTGCCTTCCAGAAGGCCTCGATTCTCCTCCGCGCCCTTCAGAAGGCCTCGATTCTCATCCCTGCCTTTGCATGCCACCGCACGTGCTCCTATGTTATTCCAACTGGCTGCTGCAAACCTTCAACCACTCGCAGGCCGTCGCCCTCTTTGCCTTCCAGCAGGCCACCACCCCTCCACTGTTCTTCTAGCAGGCCGCGACAATCTCTGACAGCCACCATCAGACCGTCGAGCGCTCCCCGCTTTCCCGCAGGCCGCCATCTTGCCTCCCGCAGACTGCCAAGCTCCGTGCCCTCCTTCAAGCAATGTTTTTCCTTCCTTCACGACAGTCCCACTCGCCTCCAACCCAGGTTCCAACCATTGACAATGTTCGACATCCTTCCACTGCAGTTCGACGCCTTTTCTACTGGCACCTTGCTGCCCTACTAGACCACCTCTACCCCGCAGCCTGACGTCTCTTTATCCCAACATCTCTTGGGCCTTCACTGCAGGCCCTTCCCACTGCCAACAGTCCTTTCCCGCAACCTCTTGCATCTGCTGCCGACTCTTCCTCGCTAGGCTCGCTCCTGGTCGAGATTGTTTGTGTCTTCACTATCGTATTCTTGTTTTTATGTTTTAGTCCTGTATCTTTTCTTTATGTGGTTCTTTTTTTTTTTGAATCCTCCTTGTGACCTCTTTATGTTCAGTAATCATATCCTAGGGTTTTTAGTATCTATCTATACCCAAGTCTATCTCCACTAGACATTATCTCTGCACACCCCCTTTTTCACCTACCTAAATCCAAATCGCAACTACACCGCCGAATAGACAATTGTCGGAGACCTATTTGGAAGAAAATGGAGGATGTGCGCTGGGAAATCCTTCAACTGTAACAAAGGCTTATTATCTTTGAGAGGAGGTAATCCAGATGGCTCACCCATAGCCATAAGGGTGACTTGTTTGATCGAAGGAATAGAGCAAATCTCTTTCACCATGCAGATTCCAGGGATAAAAAACCCTAACCCCGAAGGTTTGTCTTAAAAAATATGAAAAGCTAGAATTTTAAAGTAACAGTGAATTTGCCACATTTTGATGGTCACTTGGATTCGGATGAGTTTATTGAGTTGCTTTAGACCTTGGAACTTTCTTTAAGTACCCAGAAGTCCCACTGGGCAGAATGCTGAATCTGGCAAACAAGTAAAGATGAACACATTATTTTGGTAGAAAAAATTGAAGCACTAGCGTGAGGGAAAAGAAAAAATCACTACTTAGTCCAAGTTGAAACACGAGATGCAACGTCAGTATTTACCAGTCATTACAGACCAGCTGTTCGAACCTGTCACGACTTGACTCTAGGCTTGGAATTAACCAAGACGGGAATGGATGGTCAGACATTGAAAAATTTAATTTTTCTACATTCATTTTATTTAATTAATATTTAACAAATGAAATAGCCACCATATAAAATAAATTAAAGAAATATAATTAAATATATCTCATTTTTGGTTGTTTGCTTCTATAAATATTTTCTCTTATATAACTTATCTTTTAATCAAATGATTAAACTTGATAATTTAGTTTAAAATAACAGTGAGCTAAAAAATTACGGAATACTTTTACTTCTAAATCATAATAACATACTGAAAAAGAAGATAATATGCATGTTTGTTAAACTTTATATAAACTAATTTAGGAGCATTTGAAGGTTTATATTATTTAATATGATCATTTAATATGTTTTGTATCGTTTACGTATCAATGTCTTTTTAATTTCCATATAATTGTCACAAGAGCATCATTTAAAATTATGCCAATTAAGACTCATTAATATCAATATTCTTTTCCATTTAGTTGCACTTGTACCTTAGTGTTCTTTCGTTAGTATCATAAAGAGTTGAATTCCTTCATAGCGAAACATACATATGCAAGAAATTAAACTAATAAATCTCATTCTTATTTTTTTTTCAATAACATTAAGTACAACAACAACAAGCATTTATCCCATTTAGTGGGGTAGGCTACATGAATCTTTTTTCTCCATTACGTTCCATTGAGTGTCATATTTTCATTTAATTTAAGTAGATTAAGATCATTTTTCATACAATATGCCCATGTCTTTTTAGGTTTACCTCGGCCCTTCTTAATATAAATCAAATTTAAAATATCTACTCTCCTAATCGAATCATTAGATGGTCGATGTTTAATGTCACCAAACCATCTAAGACGACTTTCTCTAATTTTGTCATTCACTGGAGCTACGGCAACCCTATCACGAAGTTATTCCTTTCGTATTTTGTCTCTAAGTGTCAAAGCATTTATCCGCCCAAGCATTCTCATCTCAACAATACTTAACTTTGTTTTATGCTTCTCTTTTAAAGGCCAACATTCTGTGCCAGTGAGCATTGCAGGTCTCACCACTATCTTATAAAATTTTACTTTCAAGTATAAGCGGTACTTTTCTATCACATAATAGGCGCGATGCATGTCTCCACTTCAAACAACCAACTTGAATTCTATTAATAATATCTCTATCTATATCACCATCACTTTGAACAATAAACTTGTGATATCTAAAATATTCACGCCTTTTAATGATTTGATCGCCCATAGTTACAACTCTCCCCCTAGAGCTACTACTAAAATTAAATTCCATGTATTTAATTTTAGATCTACTCAATCAAAGGCCTCTAGACTCCAATATAGCCCTCCATAATTCAAATTTTTCTCGAACTCTTTCTTTAATCTTATCTACAAGACGGACATCATTAGCAAAAAATATAAACCAATGTATATCCTCTTGTAAATGTCAAGTAAGAGCATCCATAACTAAATCAAAAAAATATGGGCTTAAATAAGATCCCTGACGTAATCCGACTGAAATAAGAAAAGATTTGGCCAATCCTTCTATGTTTGAACACAAGCAACAACACTAGTATATAATGACTTGAATATAAGTTATATCAACGCCTTTTTCCTCTAGAACTCTCCAAAGTACTTTACTTGGGACTTTATCGTAAGCTTTTTTGGAATCAATAAAAATCATTTGTAGATCCTTTTGACTCTCTGTACTTCTTCATCAAACCTCTCAATAAATTTATAGCTTCCATCGTGGGCATGCCCAACATAAATCCAAACTAATTTTGAGAAGTTTTTGTATCACGTCTT